GTACCTTGTACTTTAATGTATGTTAGCACATGAGTCCGAAAGTTATTCGTCATGTAATTATGAGGCCAAAAGTTTCTATGGATGAAAGCCATTATTTGATTTAAAGTAACTTTTGGCATCACAATCTTTAGATTTTTTTAATAGTTACTTCATAATTAATAACACAATTATGACTTTTTCTTGTAGGTTTATTTCTCTTATTTGTTATTAAAATAACTGCTATTAAGTTAATTTTAGCTTGGGTTGTAAGTTTGAAAGTTGTTCTCTACGATTCTGTGAGGCCAAAGTCTATAAAAGATGAAAATAATGTTAGGTTAGATAGTTCAACATTCAGCCAATTATTTATTTTTATTTATACTATTTTCGTGTGGTATAGCAAGAATAATGGTCAAAAATCAAGTATTTTAGGATCAAAAAACGGCACGTCAATTTCCAGATAATATTAGCACTAATAAGTCTAAAAATCTAACCAAATATTGACTTTTTTAAAGTGTTATAAGTTTACTGACGAGGTGGCTGAGAAAGGGGATGAACCCTGAAACTGGTATCACCAAAATAGTATAAATAAAAATAAATAATTGGTTGATTGCAGAACTACCTAACCCAACTTTATACCCACGCTAATATGGAAACAAACATATCAAAATAATTAGCTCATTTATAGCAACTTTCGAACTCTCGTATTTTATATTTGTCTAAGTAGCAAGTACTTAAAAAATTTAAATTATCACTTTAACTTTGAATAAAAAAATATTTGTATGAATGCGTCTACAGATTCTTCTACCATTCACAGTCTAATTTTATCTTAACTTCATACAAAATGTTTCGTATTATTGAAAAAATCTGAATCTTTACAGGGGGTGTGCCTGAATATATAGCACCGAATATTGATTCACATGAATTTTACTGCCTCGATTTGACCAAATTTTAGGTTTCCGATTTTAGATTTATTCATGTACCTTGTACTTTAATGTATGTTAGCACATGAGTCCGAAAGTTATTCGTCATGTAATTATGAGGCCAAAAGTTTCTATGGATGAAAGCCATTATTTGATTTAAAGTAACTTTTGGCATCACAATCTTTAGATTTTTTTAATAGTTACTTCATAATTAATAACACAATTATGACTTTTTCTTGTAGGTTTATTTCTCTTATTTGTTATTAAAATAACTGCTATTAAGTTAATTTTAGCTTGGGTTGAAAGTTTGAAAGTTGTTCTCTACGAGGCCAAAGTCTACAAAAGATGAAAATAATTTTAGGTTAGATAGTTCAACATTCAGCCAATTATTTATTTTTATTTATACTATTTTCGTGTGGTATAGCAAGAATAATGGTCAAAAATCAAGTATTTTAGGATCAAAAAACGGCACATCATTTTCCAGATAATATTAACACTAATAAGTCTAAAAATCTAACCAAATATTGACTTTTTTAAAGTGTTATAAGTTTACTGACGAGGTGGCTGAGAAAGGGGTGAACCCTGAAACTGCAATCACCAAAATAGTATAAATAAAAATAAATAATTGGTTGATTGCAGAACTACATAACCCAACTTTATACCCACGCTAATATGGAAACACACATATCAAAATAATTAGCTCATTTATAGCAACTTTCGAACTCTCGTATTTTATATTTGTCTAAGTAGCAAGTACTTAAAAAATTTAAATTATCACTTTTAACTTTGAATAAAAAAATATTTTTATGAATGCGTCTACAGATTCTTCTACCATTCACAGTCTAATTTTGTCTTAACTTCATACAAAATGTTTCGTATTATGGAAAAAATCTGAATATTTACACATGGGGGTGTGCCTGAATATATAGCACCGAATATTGATTCACATGAATTTTACTGCCTCGATTTGACCAAATTTTGGGTTTCCGATTTTAGATTTACTCATGTACCTTGTACTTTAATGTATTTTAGCAAATGAGTCCGAAAGTTATTCGTCATGTAATTATGAGGCCAAAAGTTTCTATGGATGAAAGCCATTATTTGATTTAAAGTAACTTTTGGCATCACAATCTTTAGATTTTTTTAATAGTTACTTCATAATTAATAACACAATTATGACTTTTTCTTGTAGGTTTATTTCTCTTATTTGTTATTAAAATAACTGCTATTAAGTTAATTTTAGCTTGGGTTTTAAGTTTGAAAGTTGTTTTCTACGATTCTGTGAGGCCGAATTGTACAAAAGATGAAAATAATTTTAGGCTAGATAGTTCACCACTCTGCCAATTATTTATTTTTATTTATACTATTTTGGTGTGGTATAGCAATAATAATGGTCAACAATCAAGGATTTTACAATTTTCTTCCTTTATCGCATCCTCTTTGCTCCAGCCTTACTCCGCTCTTTTCCACTCCTTTCATCCACCCTGCTTCTCTTCCATCTTCATTCAATATTTCTGTTATACTTTCCTTTTTTCTTTAATTTCGCCCTAGTCTTGTAGCATGTATTCTAAAGTCTCTTGCACTTCTCCACACATCCTATATATTCTTCTGCTTTCGCTTAAGCAAAAGTTATTGTTTCTTTCTTCATGTCCACCCCTCTGTCTAGCAATTACTTTTCTGATATTATCTTTAGACGAGTATAACCCCCATTGTACCTAGGTTCCTTTATACTCGCCATTGGACGTATTTGTCCTTGTCGCCACTTTCGAGGAGACCTTTACTTTTCCACATCTCATTCATTATTTCACAGAGTCTTTCAATCAAATCATCCGTTCTAAACGTCCATACATCATTTACCAATCCATTCCTCCCTGGTCTTTTCCCTCTTTTCGACCCTCCAACTTGTTTCCATATTTTTTCCACTGTAATGTTCGGCCATTCTTTATCTCTCACAATTCTCGGTTTAACTCTTTTGTGCTACAATACTCTCATTTCCACTCATTAGTTTCATGAAATGTTACTTCCATTGTATTATTAGCATTTCTTCACTGATCATGTTTTTGTTTTTCCTTATTTTGGTTCTTGCTCTGATTTTATGGCTTTTATTTTATTTCTTCTTTCGGAATCTCTTCTTTTTTTTCTTCACACCGACCTATTATTATTTCTTGCTGGACAGTACTCTTCTTTTTTATCTTTCCCTTTTTACACCTTCGTAAACATTTTCTTTCTTATGTTTTTAAATCTCTGCATCTATTAACCCGCCATTTGTTTCTCTTTTCTGATTTCTTCGTTATAAATGCTTTTCTTATTGCTGCTTTTTCAGTTGTTGTTTTTAATTCTTCTATTTTATTTTAGCTTACTTCTTTTGAATTCAATTTCCAACATCTTTTATAATGCTCAGTTCCCTTCTCCTTTTTATCTACTTCCTTATTTGTGACTCCGACTTTTCTACTTCTATCCCTCAATTTTACTTCTTATAGCATGTGGTCGGAATCAATTCTTTCTCCTAATTTAAATGTTTCGGCTTCTTCATCAGCTACTGGGTTACATATACAGGTAAATTCTTTATCTTCATCCCCCTCCTTCACCCCATTCAAGACTACCAAACTCTTTCTTCAATTAATTTCCATAGAAATTTTCTGTCTTTATTTAAAATTTTATCTTTAGATTTTTCTGTGCGTTCTCCGCTATATTCCCTGCTTTTGTTGCCTATTTTGGCGTTAAAACCATCTACTATCAGAAGAAATTCTTCGTTAGACTCCTCAATTTTTTCTTAAATTTTTTTCTTCTAATTTTTTGTAATTCCAATGCAATACAATATGCAATTTCTTTTTTTCTTTTATCTTTCTTTCCACTATGCGTTCCACTTCTATTACCCGCTCTTCGATTTGTTTTATATCTTTTGTCACCCCTGTTATGGATCCCCCACTTGCTTCACCCTCATCTTTTCCTTTTTCCTTGTTCAATTTATTCCCCTTACTCTTTAGTATCCATGTTTCTGTTAATCACACAAAATCAAAATTTTATGTACTCATTAAATAAATTCTGTTTATTTTTCTTAATAATGCAATATTTCAAACAAGCAATTATAACCCCATTTGTCCTCCCCGCTTTTCTTTTCCATTCCCTCTCTATTTTTTTTTATAATTACCACCCCTTCTCTTTATGCTTCCTTGCTCAGTTAATTCCAACTCTCTTTGTAAAATTTTTCATCCAAATTTCCCTGTGTTCATTCCATGTCCTCAACTTTCCGTTTCTTACATTCTATAGCTGTTGTGTATCTTTTTTTTTCTTTCTTACTCTCTAACTTCTTTCTGAATTTTTGGCTCTTCTACTGTCCAACTGTTTTCAGTTGCTTTATATTTTCTTTAATTTTAGATAAATTTCCAACATTCTTCTGGAAATTACTATCTTCAAACAACTTCCCGTATTTATATAAAACCTAGTCATAATATTTGCTTTGTTAAGTAAATCATCTATGCAACCAACTTTTATACTTAACAATCTTTTCTCAAACCAAAATTGTTAAAATTACTGTTAAAAGATGTCACTGGATGTGCGTGAGTCCAAATGTTACGTTGAATGTGTGAGTCACTTCGGCCTCAAAAGCTACGGCGAGGCCGAAACTTCCAATTTGAGCCCAAAAGTATATATACGTGAGAGAATTTGAGGTCGAAAGTTATCATTAACATATATATGTACATATATACAAGTTTTTGTCAATTTTTAAAAGAAACATTTTTTTTAAGTATAAAAGGTCATAATTTCTCTTTATTGAAAGAATACTTTTTTTGTTAAATTGTGATAATAGTACGTGACTGAGTCACGTTTTTTGTGGCATTTTGTTTCTTGTCGTGTGATAATATTAATTATTATTGTGTGCTGTATAATGACGCGACAAAACATTTTTGCATCGTACTGACTTTTCTCTAAATTAAACTCATTACATTTTTTGCTTTTTAAGAAGTTAGTACGCTTGCATTTATATTTAACAATAAGCTCTATTACTACGTTTTCCTTTTCAAAATCATTATCATTGTAACCTTGTGTAATTTCCTTTGTTGTTCCTATGTTTCACCTGCTTGATTTTTTGCTTTTCAGGGTCAGGAAAATTTAGTAAGTAAAATAATTATTGTAAAATTAATTAATGGAAACTAATAACTAGTCGCTATTTACTAACTTTTATTATAATTGGACATACACGACAGTTAGTTTTTGCTTATTAGGCAACACCATTTTAATTTCATTGCAATTTATTTTTCATTGGATATATGTTTTATTTTTGTTTGTTTGTAGTCGTTATTGTTATTTACTAAAATTATTATGGCCTTTTATCATAATTATAGCAGTAGAAAATTCCTAACATGAGTAGAGTGGTAGTTTCCAGATCTATATACTAAATCTAAAACTGTAATTAAAATTAAAATTTCATATTAGAAAAGAAAAACCAACGCGGTAGAGTCTTCGATTTAGAATCGCACATTTTTAATGAGCTTGTTTGCTTGGTCCCTTCTAGGGTAAAGGTACAGGATCTGGACATCGGACGCTCTTGTATGGTAATGCTATATTGCTACGTCATCAAAACAGTGATATGGTAAAATTTTCAATTCAACGTTAAACTGTTATTCAAATGCACTATTTTAGTATTTGGCTTGTTTGTCGACAAGCTCAAGTAACGATAAACTCGCTTTTGATGTCGGTTTACAAGAACATAGTCAAGGTGAGGCATGCTGGTGGACAGTCCATCCAGCCAGCAAACAGAGGTAAGATACTTAAATTATTAAAAATTGAAGAGTTCACCAATTAATTTTAGATCCGAGGGTGAAAAGGTACGCGTAGGAGATGACTTGATTTTGGTCTCTGTTGCCACTGAGAGATATTTGGTATGACACATAAATTACGTGCATTTTTTTTTTGTTTTAATTTGTATCAATTTTGTTCAGCACACCACTAAAGAAAATGAAGTTTCTATTGTAAACGCCAGTTTCCATGTAACTCATTGGTCTGTACAACCGTATGGCACTGGAATTTCTCGAATGAAATACGTTGGATACGTTTTTGGCGGTGACGTACTTAGATTCTTCCATGGTGGTGATGAATGTTTGACAATACCGTCGACATGGAGCTTAGACTCAAAGTATAAGAAATATAATGTTTACAAAAACAAATTAATTTAAATTTTTTTAAGTATCGTAATTTACGAAGGTGGAAGCGTTATGTCTCAAGCACGTTCTCTATGGCGACTCGAATTAGCAAGAACGAAATGGGCCGGTGGATTTATAAACTGGTCACATCCTATGAGGATACGACATATTACTACTGGAAGATACCTTGGTGTTAACGAACACAATGAACTGTATCTTGTCAGCAGGGAAGAAGCCACTACAGCGACCACAGCTTTCTGTCTTCGACAAGAAAAAGATGATCAGAAGGTGGTTCTAGAAGATAAAGATTTAGAGGTTATTGGAACTGCTATTATCAAATATGGTGATTCTACAGTAATTGTTCAGCATTCTGAATCAGGCTTGTGGCTTTCTTATAAAGTAATTTAAACGTGATTGCATCGAAATATTTTCATTTAATTACGTCTTTGCAGTCTTACGAAACTAAGAAAAAAGGTGTTGGAAAAGTCGAAGAAAAACAGGCCGTATTACACGAAGAAGGAAAAATGGATGACGGTTTAGATTTTAGTAGAAGTCAAGAAGAAGAATCGAGAACTGCACGAGTTATTCGCAAATGCAGTTCATTGTTCACTCAATTCATTAAGTAGGGATAATCAGCCAAATTAATTTGATTTTACATCATATACCATTTTGTTTTTAGTGGATTGGAAACACTTCAGATGAATAGACGACATTCAGTATTCTTTTTAGCAGTTAATTTGAACGAGATGGTAATGTGTCTGGAAGATTTGATCAACTATTTTGCTCAACCTGAGGAAGATATGGGTAAGATATTATTTGTTAGAGGCTGTTTTCAAATTATGTTTTTGTTAATACAGAACATGAAGAGAAACAAAATAAATTTAGGGCGTTAAGAAATAGACAAGATTTATTCCAAGAAGAGGGCATTTTGAATTTAATTTTAGAAGCTATTGACAAAATCAATGTGATTACTTCCCAAGGATTTTTGGCTGGGTTAGCTGGCGATCAAAATTGGGACATGATTTCAGGTTATCTTTATCAACTACTCGGTATATTACATATTACAGCATAGTTTGATAAAATTTTCATGTCCTTTTTTTATTAGCTGCAATTATTAAAGGCAACCACACTAATTGCGCTCAGTTTGCCAATTCAAATAGATTAAACTGGTTGTTCTCTAGACTTGGTTCTCAAGCTTCCAGTGAAGGCACTGGAATGTTAGATGTACTTCACTGTGTCCTTATCGACTCACCTGAGGCTTTGAACATGATGAGAGTAAGTGTTTGATTTTGTTCAGTAACACAGATTTTGATATGATCTTCCCTAGGACGAACACATCAAAGTTATTATTTCTCTTCTTGAAAAACACGGAAGAGATCCCAAAGTTTTAGACGTACTTTGTTCACTTTGTGTCGGTAATGGTGTAGCTGTACGTAGTTCTCAAAATAATATCTGTGATTATCTTCTTCCTGGACAGAACTTACTATTGCAAACTCGATTAGTAGATCATGTAGCAAGGTAATTGATTCAAAGATAGTTAATTGTGGTATTAAATATTGATTTTATTAGCGTAAGGCCCAATATTTTTGTGGGTAGAGTTGAAGGGAGTGCCATTTACCAAAAATGGTATTTTGAAGTAACTGTAGATCATTTAGAACAAACTACTCACATGATGCCTCATTTGCGAATCGGCTGGGCTAACTCAAAAGGGTAAGTTAGTAGATGGGTATTAAGTTATTTAGACAGAAGTTTCCTTGTCTCTGAAGCACAATCAAACAAATTCAGTTTTTACTATTACTTTTTTTTTGTGATAACCCCTATAAACTAAAATAAAAATAGCGATAAGTTGATGGGATAAAAATGTATAAACATTTTTATTCCTCCCGTAATTGTTGTAGTTACGTACCATATCCGGGTGGAGGAGAAAAATGGGGTGGTAACGGAGTAGGTGATGATTTGTATTCCTACGGCTTTGATGGTGTTTACCTTTGGACAGGTGGACGTTCAACACAAGTAGTTACTAGCTTTACTCCACCATTTATAAAGAAAAGTAAAAAATACATATGTAATTATTTAGGATGTTTATAAATGTTTTGTAGACGATGTGGTTGGCTGTGCCTTAGATTTAACTGTTCCGATAATTACTTTTACATTTAATGGGGTGCCAATTAAGGGAAGTTTTAGAAATTTCAATTTAGACGGGATGTTTTTCCCCGTGATTAGCTGTTCGTCCAAACTTAGGTACCTTATTTTCGTTTTTCTTAAATTTACAAATAAAAACGAACCAATTGTAGTTGTCGATTTCTCCTGGGAGGCGATCACGGTCGCTTAAAATATATACCTCCAGAGGAGTTTTCTCCTCTTGTTGAAAGTCTTCTTCCTCAGCAAGTTTTAAATCTGGAACCGTGTTTCTACTTTGGTAACATGAATAAAAATGTAATTGCTGGGCCACTAGTTGTTGAAGATGACACAGCGTTTGTACCAAACCCAGTAGATACTTCTATGGTGACTTTAGCCACTTACGTCGAGTCTATTAGAGATAAACTTGCTGAAAATATTCATGAAATGTGGGCAATGAATAAAATTGAAGCGGGCTGGCAATGGGGAGAGTATAGAGATGACCTACGTCATGTTCATCCGTGTTTGGTGCCATTTGACAAACTTCCTGCAGCTGAAAAGAAATATGACTCTCAACTTGCAGTCCAAACGTTGAAGTAATAATTATTGGGTAAATTAATGTATCATACTCATTATGCTATTTTCAGGACCATTATTTCATTAGGCTATTACATCACCATGGATAAACCTCCATCTAGAATTAAAACTGTACGTCTTCCAAATGAACCGTTCATGCAGGCAAATGGATACAAACCCGCTCCACTTGACTTGGGGGCTATAACTTTGACACCAAAATTAGAAGAACTTGTTGATCAGTTGGCCGAAAATACACATAATCTTTGGGCCAAAGAAAGGATCCAACAGGGCTGGACCTATGGACTTAATGAGGATCCTGACATGTTCAGAAGTCCTCATCTTGTGCCTTATGTTAAAGTAGATGACGCGATAAAAAAAGCTAATAGAGACACTGCGTCAGAAACAGTTCGTACTCTACTGGTATATGGATATAACTTAGATCCCCCGACTGGCGAACAACATGAAGCTTTGCTCGCTGAAGCCAGTAGATCCAAACAAGTAATATTTCGTACGTATAGAGCAGAAAAGAACTATGCGGTTAATTCGGGCAAGTGGTATTTCGAATTCGAAATTTTGACAGCTGGTCCAATGAGAGTCGGTTGGGCAAAAGCTGACTGCGCACCAGGATGCATGTTAGGCTCTGACGAAAATACGTGGGCATTTGATGGATACAACGTAAGTAAACATTGCTATAATCTGTCCAAAGATCTAAACTACAAAGTATATATAAATTTCGCATATTTTTAAAAGCAATTATTTGACATAAATTTTTCTTTTCCTATCATAAAATGTTGTAATTAGGTAGTGCTTATAAAAATTCGACAACATTAGATAAAATGTCATTTTTAAATTTTCTTATCTTTATGTTAAAAAAGATCCTCTTAATTTTTTGAAAATTCACCAGAAAAATAAGTTTGATAGTTGTTTTTAAGTTTTAATTATTGAACTAAAACAGTTGGAAAAAACACATTAAATAGAAAACTTAAATTACATTACATCTTACTCATGTGTTCACTTTAAATATAATGTCCATTACCAACTATTAATAACGATAAATAAAAAATGAGAAATCTACAGCTTAAAATTTTTGTTAGATAACAAACAACTACTAACTTCGAGTAAAAAAAAAGTTACTTGTGGAAATGCCTTCTGTTCAATTCTTTCTTCAACTTTAACCCCTAGTGAAATTGTAATTGTTCTATTTATTTTCTTTTCATATATAATTCTTGTGGATTCGTCTCAAACTTACATTTATTGATTTGACTTTTTCAGTCTCATTTCTGCATTGAAGTTAAGATACTTCAGAAAATAATAATCTCTTACAAACTATTTATTCTTCTCTAAATCATCATTCTCTTCGCCTACTGAAGCCCACTGCCAAAATGATTGTTGATTAATTTTTTTTTAAATCACCCTTTTTCTGAAATGCTACCATCACCAGAATTTTCTTTTGTATGTACAACTCTCGTATGTTCTGGACGTTTCCTTGTGAAGAAAAAGAAAAACTGTCAAATAGTATTTCAATTTTAAATAAAATTACCACTCTTTGTGAAAAATAATTTATTAGTAATCAACTTTAGTGTGTTTGTTTTTAAAAATATTGAAATTACATGTTTTGTTCACAAAATACCAACCCTTTTTTGTATTTTGTATTTTTTCCAACTGTAAAAATATCACTTATTTCATCTGGATCAAGAGTTTTCATATAATATCACGCTAAAAATAACATACGCCTAAATGAATTTCGTCCCATTAACTATAAAATATAATGTTATTGTTAATATAACGTTGTGCCAAAACTCTTTATTGATGGTATTATTATGAATTAGATGAAAAAGATTCATGGCGGCACAAGTGAGCAATTTGGTACCAAGTATGTAGTTGGTGATGTTGTAGGCTGTTTTATAGATATTGTTGATCGTACTATCAGTAAGTTTTGTTATTTAAATGAAGACCTGTGAAGTTGTATTTATATGTTTAACTCAACTGACCATCGTTTTACTAGGAAGAAAAAGTATATAGCAATGTGGCCGAGTCTTTTGGGAAACAGTGGCAAGTTGGGGATGTAGTGGGTGTATTCCTTGACCTAATCGATCACACAATTAGTAAGGATAATTACAGTAAAGGCGTATTGGCTTTTTAAATTATTTTTAGTTGTTTTTATTATGCCACTTAATTTAAAAATACCAGTATTTTTTGCAGCTTTTTTCTTCCTTTGATTTTCAATAGATATAGGTCCAGTGTCCAGTTTTACTAATGACTGACTATTTGTCGATTATTGTGCTGTAATTGCATGCATTGCCTAAAAAAGTGTAAAACGCAATAATTGCAAAACGGTGATTTTTTTCTTATAGGTTTTTCTTTAAATGGTGAGTTGTTGATGGACGCCTTGGGAGGAGAAACTACTTTTGCCGATGTGCAAGGGGACAATTTTGTTCCTGCTTTTACTTTAGGGGTGGGTCAAAAAGCTCGCCTTTGTTTCGGTCAAGATGTTACTCAGTTAAAATTCTTTACAACTTGTGGTTTGCAAGAGGGTTACGAACCATTTTGCGTGTAAGGAACCGAGACATTTTTAGCGCGACCAACGAATAGTTTTGCTTGTTTTTTAGAAATATGAACCGTCCAGTCACCTACTGGTATACGAAAGATCAACCTATATTTGAAAACACTGATGACATGCCAGATACAAAAATTGATGTTACTAGAATTTTAGCTGGTTCAGATAGTCCTCCATGTCTTAAAATTAGTCATAATACTTTCGAAACTATGGAAAAGGCTAATTGGGAATTTCTAAGACTCAGTTTACCGGTTATCTGTCATTCGACTTTTATCTCGTAAGATGTGTGACATTATTTTGTGTAGTGATAAATTTATTCGCTGATTTAGGGAAGACGAAAAAATGAGACGTTGGCAGGAAATAAAAATTCGGCAGCACAGATTGAAAGCTGAAGCCGAATCGCAAAGTACACCAGCCCACATAGAGCAAATGATGATGAAGAGTGGATTTTCTATGAGCGACATCAAAGGTATTTTATAAAACACTTTTCAATCTTGCTAAGGTTTTAATGCAACATTAAATAGGGTTACATCGGAATTATTCTGAGGATGCTGTAGAATCTGATGAAGTGATGAAACATCACACCAAATCTACTAAAAGCATGCCAGCACGACCACCACGGAAAGGTTCCCTTTCGAGAAATATTAATGGTTTCGAAGATAATTGTAAATGTTAAACTACAGACATATATTAAGTTCATACATTTAATTTAAATTTTAGTACTAAGCATCAACACCGGTAGAGGCGTCAATCGCTCCAATAGTGAACTAGACCTTAATAGATACCATGATATGGCCCCAAATAACCAAGAAAAATTAGATGATAAGAAAAAGCGAGGCAGATCTCCTTTCAGGTAAGCTGTATGGTTAAGCACAGTGTTACATTAATTAAACGTTAATTTGTAATATCCGCTCTCTTGCATTTTTGAACAGTGCTGTACGCAGGTAAACTTATAGCTTTTTCTGATTAGAAACACACGAAGAAGCTTTCACTGTTGGTGTCTAGCGATATACAAGTCGAAAATTCGAAATTTTAATCATTTATTTTTATTGTAGATTCTTTTCAAGAAAAAATAAAGCTGGCAGCTCTCCTGGTGGTGAATCCCTTAAGGCAGATAAATCGAAGACCCCAGAGCCCGATAGAGAACGTGTGGGAACTATCAAACCCCAGAACCGTCCCGCCGGTTTGTCGCCTTCACTCCTGACGAGAAATCCTACAATTAAACAATCACAAGTAAGTGTTTGGTAGTATGTAACCGAATTTCTTCAGTAACTTTTTTAGACTGATCTAATGCAAGCAGCGGCACCTACCGGCCAACAAAAACAACTTTCCGTGCCTCACACTTCAGACGTAGAAGCGGTTGGTGATGAACTTTATGACGGAGAATGTCTTAAGCTTATCAATGAATACTTCTATGGTAACACGTTTATTCTTTTACTGCATCCACAACCGCAATTGTTGATTTTAGGTGTACGAATTTACCCTGGTCAAGACCCAACACATGTGTATATAGGTTGGGTAACAACACAATACCATTTACACACAAAAGATTTTAACCAAAAGCAAGTCCGCACGAGTTCTATTATTATAACTGACGAATACGAGAGAATTATGGATTGGTAAAAATAACAAATGTCTTTCTTTTCGTATATTAATGTTTTTATTTATTTTTAGCGTCGACCGACAATCGTGTTACATGGTGCGAGCTGATGAGTTGTATAATCAAGTCACTCAAGACGCTTCAGGCAAAGGAGCCTCACAAGGAATGTTTGTTGGTTGTTTCTTAGATGCAGCTACTGGAGTCATTACGTTCACATGTGAAGGGAAACCCACGTCTCATGTCTATAGAGTAAGTGTTCACAACCAACAGTAGACCATACATTACTCTCAAAATGCGCTAAATCCAATCACTCTACCGCTGAAATATTTTAATTTTATTTATCTTTATTAATTGTCTATGTTTTAAAAAATGGTAATAATTTCCTTCCATTTTATTGCTTAAACGTTACCAAGATTTGAAATTGGTAAATTTAAGGCAATGTCAAACAATATAAAAGCCTGCAAGTTTATCTTACCAGCATTCGTATATTTGTAGTAACATAATTTTGATGTAAAATACAAAGTCTTTCAGTTTGATATTGTTATTCTCGAACCTTTGAAAAACAGACGTTAACATTATGTTGTTGTTTGTTTGGTTATAATTTTTGGGTAGTTAGAAGATACCTATTGTAGTTTTTGCAAATAGCAAAAAATTGCTTCATTCTGTTAGATTTGAATTGCACATGTTTGATTAAACTGGAATCCAATACGGTTATTATCGAAACAAAATTAATTAGACAACAAACATGCACTCTGAGTTAAGTCGAAAAATTAATGCCCACTTTCTTCAAGATCAAAAATGACTTCACGTTCCCGTGGGCATATTTTTTTAACAATTGTTCATCATTCTATCGCAAATAATAAGTAAAGACAAAGGTTTAACTCATCATAAGTGAAGAAAACATCAGAAATGAAAAAAAAATTATATCGAGATACTTATAACATATTACAAAAAAAATGTCTAAAGTAATTTAGACAGAACTTCTCTCGCCACTGAAGCACCACGATCAAACAAATCCAGCTTTGCAGATAAATTATAAAATTTGATTTTATTTTTTTGTGATAACCCATTATAATAAAAATAAGAATCGACTATTGAACTACAGAAACATGATATGCGTATGTTTCAAGCATTGTGATGACGTCAGCAACTTTTTAGTAAAGAACAAATACATCAATCAAAATAGGTACAGTGCTAACGAAAACAGAATTTGAAGAAATCGAGATAAGCTGCTTTTTATTTAATCTATTAAATAAGTTGGTTCATTTATGAATTGTTTTGGTAACATTCACTATGACCAGTTGAAAAAAATATGGGTGCGACAAGACAACACAATGCCTTTAGGGGGTGTAGTGATAAAACCAAATACAAACAAGCTCATATTGTATACATTTTAGATAGGAACTGTGTTAACAAAGTTTTAAGATTGCATGTCGCTATCTCTGGCTCTTGTGTGTGGAGTATTCAAAATATCTCTTCATGATGTAATACCTCCATTTTTAACAGAGTTATTGTTATGAAATTTTAAATATTACCTGTCCACAACTTTCTCTATATAACACAAGGGGATATTTTTTTTAAACAGTTTATCATTTTTTTTTTTCATTTTAGTGAAATTTTTCATCACGTATTTTTAAAAATCAGTATTTATGGAAATTTTGGAACGCTGTTTGCGGCTTGAAAACTTAAGAAATCACCAGAGAAACATTGTTAACTTTTTTCGGCGTAAAAGAGATCAGTTTCTTCGATATAAAAATCGTAAAACCTAAAATACTAGTAACACCTCTAAAGCATATTTTTTAATTAAAATGCATCTAATGATTATTAGTCAATAACATATGTCGAATGAATCATTTTTATTTATAGACAGAAATTTCTAGAAACTTTTTTTTAGATGGAACCTGAAACTAAGTTGTTCCCTGCTATTTTTCTGGAAGCAACAAGCAAGGAATGCCTTCAAATTGAATTAGGTAGAACACCTACCAGTTTGCCTCTGTCAGCTGCGGTATTACAAAACAGCGCCAAGCACGTTATACCACAATTCCCGCCTAGACTAAAAGTACAGTGTCTTAAACCTCACCAATGGGCTAGAGTTCCTAATCAAAGCTTACAAGTGCACGCATTGAAATTGTCAGACATTAGAGGCTGGTCAATGTTATGTGAAGATGCCATTTCTATGTTAGCTCTTCACATCCCAGAAGAGGATCGTTGTATTGACGTACTGGAACTAATAGAAATGGATAAGTTGCTTAGCTTCCATGCACACACTTTAACACTGTATGCAGCTTTGTGCTATCAGAGTAATTATAAGGCTGCTCATGTCTTATGTAAACATGTGAGTCAGAGACAGTTGCTCTACGCCATTAAGTCAGAATATATGAGTGGTCCGTTGAGACAAGGATTTTACGATTTACTTATTGCTGTGCATCTTGAATCTGCGGCAACAACCATGTACGTTTTTTTTCACGTAGTACTAGAATTGCATAAACTTTGTTGTTTTTAGGGAAGTATGTCAGAATGAATATGTAATTCCCTTAAGTCAAGAACTAAGAGAAATGTACGAGGATGCAGATATGTGTCATAGCTTACGATTTTTGAAAATGGAATCCGTCCAGCCACAAATGAAAATGTCGGAAATTACGTACGTATTAATTTTATTGACTGATTGATTAATTAATTTTTGACTCTTGACTTCCAACTTCAACGATTGAAGACATAAACCACAGACCAGTAAGTGTTGGTTAGCTAAATCTTTCATATTATTAATTTTTGCAGCGATACTGTTGAAGATATTAAGAATTTATATTCTCCTTACTTCCCGTTGGATATAGTAAGAGATTATGTAATGACCGCGTTAGCTGAAGCTGTTGAAACTAACCAGGTGCACAACCGTGATCCAATCGGAGGTTCAAACGAGAATCTGTTTCTGTAAATAAGTAGATGTATTTAGACATTTCAAATAATAATTTAATGCTTTTTAGACCTTTGCTTAAATTAGTGGATCGTTTATTATTGGTTGGATTGTTGAGAGATGAAGATGTGGAAAAATTGTTGATTATGATATGTCCAGAAACGTGGGATCCTATATTTGAAAAAGATGGTAAAGATGAGCATCGTAAAGGACTTCTTTCTATGAAAATGGCAGAAGGTGCTAAGTTACAAATGTGCTACTTGCTTCAACATCTTTGCGATATTCAGTTAAGACACAGAGTTGAGGCAATTATAGCCTTTAGTCATAGCTTTGTTGGAGAACTACAGGCTGATCAGCTACGTCGTTACATCGAAATTAAACAGTCAGACTTGCCTTCTGCTGTAGCAGCTAAAAAAACCAGAGAATTTAGGTGTCCGCCACGTGAACAAATGAATGCCATTTTATCTTTCAAAAATTTGGAAGAGGAAGACAAAGAGAACTGCCCACTTGGGGAAGACTTATGTGAAAAATTGAACGAGTTCCATGCAAGATTAATGGCTCACGTTTCCTTGCAAGCGCTGCAAGCTCCTTCAGAAGAGGAAGTAAGTTCGTCAGTTCATAATTTTGTTGTACACCAAAAAAAAGATCTTATATCTTTTAACAATTTTTTTTTCATGATTTTTAGAATGCAGACTTGCAAAAGCCGGGAGCTTTGAAACGATTATATAATTTTATCAATGCTGTCAAAGAATTAGAAGAAGAACCCAAAGAGGAACCAGAACCGGAAAAGAAAACTCCAGAAGAGGTGTTTAGGAAAGTCTTGATTGGTACAATTGTGAAATGGGCTGAGGAATCTCAAATAGAAATGTCTAAACTCGTACAAGAAATGTTTAGGTATAATTTTGACTTTTTATATTAATATAGGCATTCGCTAATTTTTAAATTTTAGTTTACTTGTGCGACAGTACGATTCTGTCGGCGAATTAATAAGAGCTTTACAAAAAACGTACATTATTAACGCCAAAACGAAACAAGATGTTGCCGAAATGTGGGTCGGTTTAAGCAAAATTAGAGCACTTTTACCAGTACAAATGTCTCAAGAAGAAGAGGAATTAATGAGAGAACGTTTGTGGAAATTAGTAAATAATCACACTTTCTTCCAACATCCAGACTTGATTCGAGTGTTGCGCATTCACGAAAACGTAATGGCTGTAATGATAAATACTCTTGGTAGAAGATCCCAAGCTCAATCAGACGCTCAAGCGCAAGCTCAAGCCGCTGAAGGAGAACCTGTTGTTAAAGAAAAAGACACATCCCATGAAATGGTGGTGGCATGTTGTCGCTTTTTATGTTACTTCTGTAGAACCGGTCGCCAGAACCAAAAAGCAATGTTTGAGCACTTTGATTTCTTGTTGGAAAATAGCAACATTCTATTAGCGCGACCGAGTTTGAGGGGTTCAACACCATTAGATGTAGCTTACTCCTCTCTCATGGAAAATACAGAATTAGCGTTAGCCTTACGTGAACATTACTTGGAAAAAATTGCGATTTATTTGTCGCGGTGCGGACTTCAATCCAATTCCGAACTTGTCGAAAAGGGTTATCCAGATTTAGGTTGGGATCCAGTGGAAGGTGAACGTTATCTTGATTTCCTTAGATTCTGTGTTTGGGTATAACCATGTTGTTTAAGTAATGTAGGCTTTTATTAAGTGCTATCTTGTAGGTAAACGGTGAGAGTGTTGAAGAAAATGCTAATTTAGTTATCAGGTTGCTTATAAGAAGACCTGAATGTTTAGGTCCCGCCTTGCGAGGTGAAGGTGAAGGTCTTTTACGTGCTATTGTGGAGGCTAACAAGGTAAATGACCTTATGATTTAATGTGAATACGTGGACTGTAATGGGCATGAATTACAGATGTCTGAAAGAATTTCTGATAGACGAAAAATGATGGACGAAGCTGAAGGCACTGTAAATGTTGCTTCATTTAGCCATCCTCTTCCTGAAAGTGATGATGATGAGGACTACATAGATACAGGAGCGGCCATTTTGAACTTTTATTGTACTTTAGTAGATCTCTTGGGTAGATGTGCCCCTGATGCTGCAGTTATAGAACTGGTAAGTACGTAACTATAATACAGTAAAACTTTTTTGGGTTATTATTCTGTGCTTGTTTTACATAAATCTTGTGTAATAAAATTATGACAGTGTAGGCCAGAATCTTTCATTAGTTTTAAGAAATTTTCAATTTTTCTGCATACACACAAGATGTATAACCAAAAAACGTTGTATCGTTACTAAATGCGATTTAATGAAGAGAACAGAAAATTATATACATCTGTCATACCTTTCTTGGAAATAATTATGGCATGTTTTAAATATAATAAAAAGGAATGTCATCACTTTTGGCGAATTTAAAAAATATATTTTTTGTTTGTCTATATGCGGTTCTATTCTGTGTAATTGTCATAGGGTAAAAATGAATCTCTTCGAGCTCGTGCGATTCTTAGATCTTTAGTACCATTGGAAGATCTTCAAGGTGTTTTAAGTCTAAGATTTACTCTACAAAATCCAGCAGCCGGAGAAGAAAGACCTAAGTCGGATATGCCATCTGGTTTAATACCTGGTCACAAACAATCAGTTGTACTTTTCCTAGAACGAGTTTACGGTATTGAAACCCAAGAACTGTTCTTTAGACTCCTTGAGGAAGCTTTTCTCCCAGATCTAAGATGTGCAACCATGTTAGATCGAGTAAGATTCGTCGTTTACACCAGGAATTTTTGACGTTTTAGCTTATTTTTTATTGTAGAACGACGGTAGTGAATCCGATATGGCTTTAAGTATGAACCGTTACATTGGAAACTCTATTCTTCCGTTACTTATTCAACATAGTAAATTTTACAGTGAAGCTGAGAATTATGCTTCCTTACTTGATGCTACGCTACACACTGTTTACCGTCTATCGAAAAACCGTATGCTTACCAAAGGTCAAAGAGAGGCTGTTTCTGATTTCTTGGTAGCATTGACTAGCGCTCTGCAGCCGTCAATGTTACTTAAGTTGCTTAGAAAACTTACTGTTGACGTATCAAACTTATCAGAATATACCACAGTAGCTTTGAGATTATTAACACTACATTATGACAGATGTGCAAAGTATTACGGTTCTAGTACGGGACAAGGTATATATGGTGCCGCCAGTGATGAAGAGAAGCGACTGACAATGATGCTCTTCTCGAATATTTTCGATTCTTTGAGCAAGATGGACTATGATCCTGAATTATTCGGAAAAGCTTTACCTTGCTTGAGTGCAATTGGGTGTGCATTACCGCCCGATTATTCTCTTTCGAAGAATTACGACGATGAATGGTACGCCAACAAATCTGCCCAAACAGGACCAGATGGGCCATATGATCCTCAACCTATTAATACATCATCCGTTGCTCTTAATAACGATTTAAATAGCATTGTACAACAATTCTCTGAACATTACCACGACGCTTGGGCATCGCGAAAATTAGAGAACGGTTGGCAGTATGGTGAAAATTGGTCCGACTCCAATAAAACACATCCAAGACTCAAGCCGTACGCCATGTTAAATGATTATGTAAGAACCTGTATATAGTTTTAACACAAATATAATAACTTAAACTTTTCTACTATAGGAGAAAGAAAGATACAAGGAACCAGTTCGCGAATCTTTGAAAGCTCTTTTAGCTATTGGTTGGTCTGTAGAACATTCCGAAGTTGATAATCCGACAAATAATCGTAATTCAATTAATCGACAATCGACTGATGGTTCATCACCATTTAACTACAGTCCTCATCCCGTGGATATGACCAACTTGACGTTGTCGCGAGAGATGCAAAATATGGCTGAACGTCTTGCAGAAAATGCACACGATATTTGGGCTAAAAAGAAGAAGGAAGAACTTAACACTTGTGGTGGAGGCATACATCCTCAATTAGTTCCATACGATCTGTTAACTGATAAAGAGAAAAGGAAAGATAGAGAACGCTCCCAAGAATTTTTGAAATATTTACAATATCAAGGCTACAAATTACACAGGTAACTTTAAACTATACAGTTAATAAAGTGTGTAATTTTTATTTTAAGACCTCATCGCGGTGCACAAGGAGAAACGGAACAATCGACAGCTGGACCTTCAATCGAATTACGATTTGCTTACAGTTTACTAGAAAAACTTATCCAATACGCTGATCGTGCAACAATTAATATGAAACTGTTGAAACCATCTTCAACATTTAGCCGAAGGACATCGTACAAAACGTCTTCTAGAGATATCAAATTTTTCTCGAAAGTAAATTTTAGAATTTTAATAGTTTTTGTTCTAATTTTTGCACTACGCAGGTTGTGCTACCTTTAATGGAAAAATACTTTTCCACTCATCGCAACTATTTCATTGCTGTTGCAACAGCTACCAATAATGTCGGTGCCGCCAGTTTAAAGGAAAAAGAAATGGTTGCGTCTCTGTTTTGTAAACTGGCAAGCTTACTGAGGTCTCGTCTTACTGCTTTCGGCGCAGATGTTAGAATAACAGTCCGATGCTTGCAAGTTTTGGTCAAAGGAATCGACGCCAAATCTTTGGTTAAGAACTGTCCTGAATTTATACGTACCTCGATGTTAACGTTCTTTAATAACACTGCTGATGATCTAGGTCATACTATAATCAACTTACAAGAGGGAAAATATAGTCACTTACGTGGCACTCATTTAAAAACATCAACATCCTTGTTTTATGTCAATACTGTAATAATTCCAATTTTAACTGCAATGTTTGATCATCTTGCGAACTGTGAATACGGAAGTGATTTGTTGCGTATGTAAATGATTTCTTTAGAATTACCTTAATTGTAACTGCGTATATTGTAGTTGACGAGATTCAGGTCGCTTCGTATAAGATTTTGCAAGCTCTATACAGCCTCGGTACGGATCCGAGTCTGACTCATGATAGAAAATATTTAAAGACTGAAATCGAGAAGTATAAACCAGCATTGGGTTCTTGTTTGGGAGCTTTTAGCTCAACGTTTCCAGTGGCATTCTTAGAACCACATCTTAACAAGAATAACCAGTATTCTCTACTGAATCGAATTGCTGATCATTCATTAGAAGCTCAAGGTATATTTTATCTTTAATGTAATGCGACACTAATAATTAAATTATATTTCGTAGACATAATGACTAGAATGGAAAGCTCAATGCCCACTCTTGAAACTATTTTGGCTGAAGTTGATCAGTTTGTTGAGAGTGAAAAAACTTATTCAGACGCTCCTTACGTAATTGATGTTATTATGCCTATGCTATGTTCCTACTTGCCGTTCTGGTGGTCGCAGGGTCCTGACAATGTTAGTCCAACCGGAGAGTAAGATATTTTTAAGCCATTCCAATCTGGTGAGAATTTTTATATTTTTGTTTTTAGAACTCACGTCTCGATGGTTACTGCAGAACATATGAATCATTTATTGAAGAATGTTCTGAAATTAATTAAAAAGAACATTGGCAATGACAATTCACCATGGATGACTAGAATTGCCGCTTATACACAACAAATTATTATCAACAGCAGTGAAGAACTTCTTCGAGATCCATTCCTTCCCTTAGCTGAACGCGTCAAGAAACGAACGGAAGCTATGTTCCATAAAGAAGAAAGTTTACGAGGTTTCATTAAAAGCTCGTCAGATGACACATCACAGGTAAGATTACAGTTGAACTCTTCCATGAAGTAGAAAAATTTTAATAAAAAAATTCTCTAAAAAGAAATTTCGCTTACCATATTAGCTGTACTTAAGGGAAGTTAATTTTTATATCATAGAAGTTTTTTTGTATCTAATCAAAATATGAACAATGTCAAATTTAGCTTTCTTATCCTTCACACTTAATTCTAGATCGAAACCCAGATTCAAGAAGACTGGCACCTTCTTGTTAGAGACATCTACGCATTCTATCCTCTGCTCATCAAATACGTTGACTTGCAAAGAAACCATTGGTTACGACACAACATCGCAGAAGCTGAAGACTTGTACAATCATGTTGCTGATATTTTCAACATTTGGTCGAAATCTCAATATTTCTTACGCGAAGAACAGAATTTCATTTCGGCTAATGAAATTGACAATATGGTTCTAATTATGCCAACCGCTACGAGGCGAACTGTTGTTTCAGACGGAACACAACCAACTGGTGGAAAGGTAATCAATAGTTTACATGTAAAAAAATTCAATCAATGTTAATAAACGAAAATTAATAATATAGAAGAAGAAGAAGCATCGTGATAAGAAGAGGGACAAAGACAAGGAAATACAAGCTTCATTGATGGTTGCCTGCTTGAAGCGTTTATTACCAGTAGGTTTAAACTTGTTCGCAGGAAGGGAACAAGAATTGGTACAACACTGTAAGGATCGATTCTTGAAAAAGATACCAGAATATGATATTGCTGATTTTGCCAAAACTCAGTTAACTCTGCCAGACAAAATTGATCCTGCAGATGAAATGTCATGGCAGCATTATTTGTATAGTCAGTTAGGTAGCAAGAAAAGTGCTGCTGTAGGTATGGTTGATAGCAATGGCAAGAGTCTGCTTGAGGAAACAGTCGATCGAATTGTGGCTATGAGTAAAGTCCTTTTCGGTTTACACATGGTGAGTTGAAATATATCCTATATACATTTAACACTAACATGAAAATTTTTCTCCGATTATACTTCTGTAAATTCACTCTATTCGCAAATTCTAAGATGTTTATTTTATTTTTTACCTTAAATAGCTTGTTAGTACATTGTAAAGCTGTCTTGAAGGAATCTTTAATTATAATTTTGCCACGGTTTGTTTTAATTTGTTTTTCGTTGCGCGCCAGATCGATCACCCACAACAACAACAAAAAGGTGTATACCATAGCGTGGTTTCTACTCAGAGGAAGCGTGCTGTACTCTCTTGCTTCCGGCAAGCTTCTTTGCACAGTTTACCAAGGTTCGTCTGAGGTTTGCTTTTCTGTTTTATCTACTCACTCACATTATAACACACAATTTTGATTGTTTAGAACTTACCGTGTTAATTGTGTGTGCTCGTTGTTTTTACTAACAGGCGAATAGACCGAAAACTAACACTAATGGTTGGAAAAAAGTTTTGGGAGCGGCCAGAAAAAGAGCGGCTCTTGCTTGTCTTAGATGCCGTCATTTATATAAGCTAAGCAGGTGTGTTAAACAATAGATTGAAAATTTTTAACATTTTCAGTATAAAACTGTAATTTTCTTAAAATTTTGTGTAGGCATCGGGCTATCAATATTTTCATCCGTTCTTACTATGAACTCTGGCTACAAGACGAAAATGTGGGACAAGAAGTAATGATTGAAGATTTGACTCAAAGTTTTGAAGATTCTGAACTTAAGAAGAAAGATGTTGAAGAAGAAGAAGGAAAGCCGGATCCTTTAACACAGCTTGTTACAACTTTCTGCAGAGGTGCTATGACTGAGCGATCGGGTGCTCTACAGGTACCACTCCTTTTTTAAAATGATCTAGAAAATATTGATGGCGCTTTTTTATATAGGAGGATCCTCTCTATATGTCTTATGCTGAGATTATTGCCAAATCGTGTGGTGAAGAAGAAGAGGAAGGTGAAGAGGAAGAAGGTGGCGAAGGTGAAGAAGGAACCGCGTCAATTCATGTGAGTATTTTTTTTGTTGGAATGAAGAAGTTGTCCCTTAACGTTTATCGAGGCAACCTGCAACCTCATAATGTAAAACAATATTAATACTCTAAAATTCACTTTTAATAATATAATTGTATTAATTTCTGCCTACCAGAGGACGATGGACAAATTAATGGTAAGGTTGCGATGGATACGTTCGTAGTTGTTTATCTTCTTTGTATAATCGGTGGCAACAGGAGGTTGCATAAGTTTCACATAGGCAGTTCATGGGTGATCGGCAGATTAATATGATACAATTCACAGAATGCGACGAACGTGTTGTACGTTCAATGATGCACAGTCAGTTATAAACGTGAAACTCGTAATAATGGGGAGATTTAGATTTCTTGTAATGTTATACTCTATTTATGCACACGTGGCTGTCGAAGTTGAGAGGCAAGAAAATAACATGGTTAAACTAATTTTGCTGATCCCTGCTCTCGTGTGTTTGTTATCACACATTTTCTTCTTACACTGCCTCCTCTGTTGAGGCGGTGTACGGTAGGTACAACTCGCAATTAGGTTAATTTACTCATACCTATATCAAAATGGCAGTTAAATGTAACTTTCACATACTTAACTGCGCTGGTATAACTGAAGAACAGGACAATAATTTACAACATGCGGAAATGATAACTACTTGGTGTTGCGCCTTTTGTAAACTGAAAATGTCATCATCTTTTAGTAAGTCACTCTCACAATTGGTAATGTTTTCTCAGATGCGTCAAGTGTTAATATTCCAATTTGAAAATCTAGACAATTCGTACAAAATTGCAGTCTTTACTAACTAAAATTGGGTTGAGGCAAGATGAAATTCGTAGTTTGACTGATGCAAATACTCAACACTGAAATTACGAAATTATCTAAAGTTTTTCACCGCAAAGACGGTGCTATTGAACATTATCTAATGGCTACAGTTATACACGATAAAGTGTTTTATGCAGGAACAGTTACACTGATTAACTAGCTGAGTGGGTGCACGGTGTGGTTTGTGCTGCTGCTGGTCATCGTGATATTTTTGGAGAACTATTAGTTATTCTTGCATTTTGCACTGCATTTTTGACACATGCCATGGGTCAATAAGTATATTAATAAGAATTTAGTTGTCAGTTTGGTTAGTTTTGGTAGATTTTCTAATGATTTCATTTTTTGGGTTTGTTATCACATCCTTGTTAGGTGGTTATCTGCCTTTCTCATACCACTTTTTCTGTTGGGACGATTGAAGTCACAATTATACGTTAATTTACTTATTCATATATACATCAAAACTTATCAAACGTTATACCCTTTTATTGAAGATAAAAGTGTTTTCAGCTCTTTTTACTTTGTAAAGTATGTTTTATCTGCATTTTTATCTAATTAATCATTGCCTACTGTGGGTGTTAAATACGATGAATGTGGGAGTAATTATCACATTTCTTGTGCGGGTTTGTTACATTTCGGGTGCTGCGGCTAAGGTATTAAATCTTTCTAACATACCTTCATCCTACTCATTCCATTTGGAGGATGTTTTGCATAAAGTCTTATCTACTTATATGGATCCTATAATAGAGTAGTTGAACTCTCTTAATGCTCTAATTACTAAGTTATCTGCTGAAAATAAATCATTGCATACTGACGTAACAAATTTAAACCAACGTCTTAATAGCAGATCGCAAGCTGATGAATCAAAGCTCACCAAAGAGGAGCAAAGTATTAAAAAGAGTTATTCTGAATCCTTTCGCGAGAATTCTGCTGAATTCCAATTAAACCCAATCTGTTGCGAAAACTAAATTAGATATAATTGGTTGAAGCTGCGCTTGCGGATTGTTACTATGTCTTCAAAAGTAAGCGAAATTGATATAGTTATAGTACGATGTATCACCAAACAAAATAAGCTGATTTTTAACTCTGAATCTGATTGCAAAGTACACGTAAGAGGAATGATTCGCGGTGAAACTCCGGGGGCGACGGGTCGGTGACGGTGACGGTCGGGAGTTTCGCTGATATCGCGTGGGAGTGGCAAACCCCAGTGTCGCCTCCTGGGCCGACTAGTGCCGCTAACCGAACACGTTTGCCCGACCAAGGCGATGAGGTCACCTTTACGGCACGTGGGGTGACGCCTTTGATCGGGAGCGGCGGTCCTCGGGCGCCAGCTCCCTCTTCGGGCAGGCAGACTGGCTTTAAAGCCGGAGACACGGATCTCCAAGTGGTTTCTTGAGCGCGCGTAAAAACAAGGAATAATATTGCCGAAAATTTCTGACAATAATCGGTTTTTATTTCCTGCCACAAGCTACACGGCTAAACTCAAAATCTTACGGTTAATTTAAAATAATTTACAATGCAAAAAGTACAAAATGTCCGACACGGTCGTTTCTGGCTCCTGGACGGCGGCTTCTCTCTGGATGGACTCCTCCTAGTCCTGGGGACAGCGGCTCTGTAAGGAAAATACGGCAACACATCGGCGGGGATTGCGGCGGCGGAAAATGGTACGTGCTCAACGGTTTCGGCCTCTTTAACACAAAAAAACTCACGGCGATACGGTGGTCGGTCTGGAACTTTTCGATGGAATTTTTCCAGCCCTTCTTACCCACTCCTTCTACTCTTTACGGAGTAAGGCCAAGTAATAATTGAATTGAATCCCTTTTCCGGCCGTATTGGCGCAGTGGTCGCCAATTCGCCCCGACTCTCAGTACTCGTCCAAATTTCTGGCCCGCGAAAATTCACTTCGTTACAGATTATTTCTAAATTCTACTTGAGGTTGACTGTGCAACCTATAAAAAATCACTTAGTTTAGATCATTGCTTGATCGCCTTGGATGCTTGAAATAGTTATATAGGATGCTGTTGAAATCTTGAGGTGTTATAAGTGTAACGGCTATAACCACACACTAAAGACGTGTATTAATAAAGAACTTTCATGTCCTTGTTGTGCCGGACCCCATGCTGCAATAGACTGTACCGCCGAAGTGTTAAAATGCTCAAAGTGCGCTGCCATTAATAATAAAAATGATAGTGAAGATTAAGAGTTGATCATGCTGTCTGGCAATATCAAAACTGCTTTGTTTATCAAAGATCGCTTGACAAAATTAAACAAGTTGTATTTGGAGATCCCTCTTTCTGAAACTTGGATTCATCCAGGTAATAGAGACTCCATAAAATTTTATAGTGTACAGAAAAGAGAGAAATTTTACGAAAACTGGCATTTCCAGAGGAGGCGTAAAAGATTCATTTATCTCTACAAAAATTAATTTAGACCATTCTAATTTTAATACTCTTCCCTTGGTTGAAGTCTCGGCTGTTAAAATGTCAGTTGACTTAGTTATTGTTACAATTTTCGTCGTTTACTTTCCGCCATCTCTCTCAACTGATTATTTTCGGTCTGTTCTTGACGCATTCTCATTTTTTGAATTAATTCTTAATCGTGATGTAATTATTGCAGGAGATTTCAATATCTCAGGTAATGCTAAATAAAGACGTAGCGTTAGCTTCGGGTACGCACACCACCCCCGCTATTTATTTCTTTGGGATATGATCAACCAAAAATAAACGTTATATAAGTAACTGCAAATTTTCCAAAAACACTGGAATACGTCAAGAAGTTAATACTGGTTGCTGCCTTTCTTATAAGAAAATTAATAGCATGTTAAATCTGCATATCCCCGAATCTCATCGTTCTTATAATAATTCGTATCCACCATGCTTATTAAAAAAAAGTTAAACTAAAATGAAGACTATGGCGCAATTACATATCCGCTAAAAATCAGTTAACATTTTAAAACTGTCCGTAGCGAACAGTATAATTACTTATTACTTATCAGTTGTACTCAATCAAAATCTGGAATCTACTATAAAGACAAGTCTAAGCAAATTTTGGGCCCATATTGGTTATCTGAAAAAACGTTCTGATATTCTTTCTCAATTGAGTTATCTGACCACATTTTGCGGAATAAAAAATAAGGGATGGCCGATGGGGACGGGCATCACAATATTGTTCTGAGCAAATTTGTTGCCAAATCAACAATAGTTTTTTGATGTTCATATCAAAATACGTATTATTAGTGCGTTCGCATGATACATTTTGTAACAACCTGTGAGTTGTGGTTGAAAGTGCTTATTTTTCATAGGAACAAGAAATGGAAAAACAAAAATTGTTGTTCAACCAAGCAAGACTGGCCAATAGAGGCGTAGCAGAAATGGTTCTGCTTCATATTTCGGCATGCAAAGGTGTACCTTCCGAAATGGTCATGAAAACTCTCGAACTGGGAATTTCTATACTTCGTGGTGGCAATTTTGATATCCAAATGGGCATGTTGAATCACTTGAAGGAGAAAAAAGATGTTGGTTTCTTCACCAGCATAGCCGGCTTGATGAACAGTTGCAGTGTTTTGGATCTTGACGCCTTTGAACGTAACACCAAGGCTGAAGGGCTTGGTGTGGGCTCAGAAGGTAAATATACACACATATTGAGGTTTTCGGTCTTACATTAACGTATTAAAAAGGTGCGGCTGGCGAGAAGAACATGCACGATGCCGAATTCACTTGTGCGTTATTTAGGTTTATTCAGCTCACCTGTGAAGGTCACAATCTAGGTGAATTAAATGAAAATTTGTGATTATTTGGAATTAATTGTTCATATTCTAGAGTGGCAAAATTATTTGCGTACTCAGGCAGGTAACACCACAACGGTAAATGTTGTCATCTGTACAGTGGATTATTTGCTGCGTCTTCAAGAATCTATAATGGACTTTTATTGGCACTATTCCAGCAAAGAACTAATTGATCCTGCGGGTAAAGCAAACTTTTTCAAAGCCATCGGTGTTGCCAGTCAAGTATTTAACACACTCACTGAGGTGATTCAAGGTCCTTGCACGCTTAATCAACAAGCTTTAGCTCACTCTAGGTATATATGATTCACTATTTTTTTATGTATAAATTACCATACCGTGTATTTACAGGTTGTGGGACGCCGTCGGCGGGTTTCTTTTCCTATTTTCACATATGCAAGACAAACTATCAAAGCACTCTAGTCAAGTTGATTTGCTTAAAGAACTGCTCAACTTACAAAAAGACATGATTACTATGATGTTGTCTATGCTTGAAGGCAATGTTGTTAATGGTACCATCGGTAAACAGATGGTGGACACGTTGGTTGAAAGTGCATCAAACGTAGAATTAATCCTCAAATACTTTGATATGTTCTTAAAACTGAAAGATCTAACCTCCTCTCCCAGTTTTCTGGAAATTGATATTAATAACGACGGATGGGTTTACCCCAAAGATTTCAAAGAAAAAATGGAACAGCAAAAGAGCTATACTGCGTTAGTTAATTCACACTATAAACTCTAACTTTTGGCTAAATATTTTCTTACAGAGAAGAAATCGACTTCTTATTGGCATGCTGTGAAGTAAACCACGATGGCAAAATCGATTACATAGGTTTTATTGATCGATTCCATGAACCAGCAAAAGAAATCGGTTTTAACTTGGCCGTTTTACTGACGAATCTATCTGAGCACATGCCAAACGAACCAAGATTGGCTAGATTCTTAGAAACTGCTGGATCTGTATTAAATTATTTTGAACCATTCTTAGGACGTATAGAAATTTTAGGTGGAAGCAAACGTATTGAGCGGGTTTACTTTGAAATAAAAGAATCGAATATCGAACAGTGGGAGAAGCCTCAAATTAAGGTACGTTACGAGTTTTTGCTGATTTGTGTGATCTCAGTTACGTTTGAATTTTAAGTTAATATTCTTCAAGACTGCATTCAACATGTATTGTCTAAATTAGCACAATTTTACGTCTTATAGGAGTCAAAACGAGCATTCTTCTATTCAATTGTAACAGAAGGTGGTGACAAAGAAAAGCTTGAAGCTTTCATAAACTTCTGCGAAGATGCTATTTTTGAAATGCAGCACGCCAGTGGACTGATGGCAGTAGAGGATTCCGGTGGAGGAGGTCCCACACGTACCGCTAGTTACAGTTACATGAATGTCGATGACGAAGATCGAGGGAAAGATCCAATTCGTAGAGGATATCAGTCTGTAAAAGAAGGGATATCGTATGGATTGTCAGCCCTGAGTCCTTCCAATATAAAACATAGAATTGCTGAAATGCAACAAATGACTATTCCAGAATTATTTATCGGTTTCTTTAGGATGATTATGTATGCATTTTATTATTCCGGGTTTGGTGTGGCGGTTATTTTTAAGTATGTATTTGGCGTGTTATTGTCGTTAATGAGAGGCCCCGTCGAAGAACCAGTAGTCGAAATTAAAGAAGAGGAAAAAGTAGGTCTGACTAGAGTTTTACCGGCTTTACCGTCTACGGAAGAGGCAAATACGCAGATGCAAGCATTCGGATTGGATATAACGAAAGAAGATAACGGACAGTACGTTATTAACACAATCTACTGCCGAAAAATCAATTTCAATACCACCACTTTTTAGATATAAAATGGCGGCACATGAGTCACCAACAACAAGTCAGCCATCTTCAGCTGAAGGTGAAGGGGAAACCACGCCAGAAGAGGAAGGTGAACACGCGGATGCTGAGTCTTCGGAAGCCCCTCTATCTTTGTCTGATCTCTTGGGGTGAAATTGTGAACCAATTCTTGTAATGTGCACATGTTGTTTTTTCAAAATTTCAGTGGTGAACAAGCTAAACGGGCAGCTCAAGAAAAGGTAGAAGCCCAAGCGGCCCAACAAGCAGCCATGCAAGCAATTGAATCAGAGTCTAAGCAACCAGTGGTTACTGAACCATCCGCCGTGTCACAAATTAACTTCGGAGCGTATAGTCATCGCGCTGTATCGTTCTTAGCCAGGAACTTCTACAACTTAAAATATGTGGCTTTGGTTCTAGCGTTCTGTATCAACTTTATGCTTCTATTTTACCGGGTAATGATTTTAATTTGTACTGTCATTTTCGTTTTTTTTTTTAATAGTTTTTGTTGTCCGTATAATTTGATTAATATTTGATTTTTTAAATTTGCATAAAAAATGTCATATTGTATGTAAAAGGTTTCTACTCTGGGAGAGGACGACGAAGGTAGTGGTAGTAAAGAAATCCCAGACATATTAGAAGGATCTGGAGAAGGTAGCGGAGCAGGTTCTGGAGAATCGGGTGAAGATGAGGACGCGCTAGAGTTGGTACATGTGGATGAAGATTATTTCTACATGGCACATGTGATGCGTTTAGCAGCTATACTACATTCGATGGTCTCACTGGCTATGTTGATTGCCTATTATAACTTAAAAGTGCCTTTAGCTATATTTAAAAGAGAAAAAGAAATCGCGCGACGTCTTGAATTTGAAGGTTTATACATTGCAGAACAACCTGAAGACGATGATTTAAAATCACATTGGGATAAACTAGTTATTTCAGCAAAGTAAATATCCGATGTGTTTATACACTGACCGTAAACTTTGACTTTTAGATCATTTCCGGTCAATTATTGGGATAAATTTGTTAAGAAAAAGGTCCGCCAAAAGTATAGCGAAACTTACGATTTTGATTCAATTAGCAACTTATTAGGAATGGAAAGAACGTCTTTCCAACAACAGGAATCAGAAGAGAGAAAAAGTTTAATTTACTTGTAAATTTATGCACTACATCAGCTTGCAAAAAAAAACTCCCTGATTTTATTGCAGTATTATCAACATCGATTGGCGCTACCAAATTTGGAAATCTGGCGTGACGATTACCGATAATTCGTTTTTATATTCTTTATGGTACTTCATCTTCTCCATTTTGGGCAATTTTAACAACTTCTTCTTCGCTGCTCATTTGTTGGACGTTGCGGTAGGTTTTAAAACACTGCGTACGATTTTACAGTCTGTAACGCACAACGGAAAACAATTGGTTTTAACGGTGATGTTGCTAACCATTGTGGTGTATATTTACACCGTCATCGCTTTCAACTTCTTTAGAAAGTTCTACGTACAAGAAGAAGATGAAGAAGTAGATAAAAAATGCCACGATATGTTAACGGTATTTTCGCATTCTATTGTCTTTTTCATGTACTAATTATTTGTATTCAGTGCTTCGTATTTCATCTCTACAAGGGAGTGAGAGCCGGTGGTGGAATTGGTGACGAAATTGAACCACCAGACGGAGATGATTATGAAGTTTATCGTATTATGTTTGACATTACTTTCTTCTTCTTCGTCATTGTCATCTTGTTGGCTATTATTCAAGGTTACTTATTACATGATAATATTTTGTACGTTTTAAAATTTGAAATTGTCTATAGGTTTAATCATTGACGCTTTTGGTGAGCTGCGTGATCAGTTAGAGAGTGTGAAAGAGGATATGGAGTCTAATTGCTTCATATGCGGCATGGGTAAAGAATATTTCGATAAAGTACCGCATGGGTTCGATACTCACGTTCAGCAGGAACATAATTTGGCGAACTACATGTGAGTATTGTTAACGTTTTTTTTTTTAACGACTTTTGTACTTTTTCGTCCTCTAGGTTTTTCCTTATGCATCTAATCAACAAGCCGGATACAGAATACACGGGTCAAGAAACGTATGTGTGGAATATGTACCAACAAAGATGTTGGGACTTCTTCCCAGTGGGTGACTGCTTCCGCAAACAGTATGAAGAAGAATTAGGAGGCGGTGGTGGTTAAAATAAGTCTAATTTACGTAAATTCTAAGTGCTCAAATTTTCTAATTAAACTCTCCATTAGGTATTTTTTTATCGATACATGACACCACTCACAGCAGATCGATAAAAAGAATTTTTAAATCGACATTTTAATGTTTTTTTTTCTTTTTTGAAATTTACATGTTGTAATATACTCTTGTGCTTTATTATTGACTCAGAATTTTGTTTTATTGAACAGTACAAAATATTATAAACTTGTCCAAATTTTGCCTTAAAATTTTAAATAACGTTCAAAGTATATTGTGAAGTGTATTGCGGAATTTTGACTCTAATAAAACTATTATTGTTACATATGTGTGTTTTTGTATTAGTATTTAAAAAATGCACATACGAAAGAAGAAAACGACAAATTTTATTATTGCAACAACAATTTGTGCTTCTCAAAACATTTCATGCGAGAAATGTTAAATTTACTTATACTAATAATACTGATATAGGCCGATGTCTTTAGAACTTTAAAACTACACAAAACAATGTTGTATGGAAACTCTTCTATCGAAATAGAACATCCTTTCGAAAACAGACGACTTGTTTGTCAACAGGATTTTAAAGTGATTAAAGTAAAATATTTCAAGAAGTTTCATCATAAGTATTTGAAAGCTAATTTGAAGACAAACAATAGCTAAACGAATTTATTACGCGTTTCTACGTTTATTTCAAAAACTACGATAACGTCAAAATTTGTACGATGAATATTGCGACGCATTATTTAATTACTTATAGTACTGATATATTCAAGGCGCAGTTCTCTCATTTCGGTACCATTTTCTGCGTTCACTAGAAGAGGAATGCTGTCGGAAGATCCTCTTCTTGCAACACAGTCTTCGTTATGAGCATTCGATTTCTGGAGTTCATGAGGTAGGACATTATCCATTGATTGAGAGACATTAATGATATTTGGAAGGAAGGATTTGGTTTTAACAAAGATGTACCAGTTCTAAAAATTAGTGTTTTCTGTATTCTATATCAAATACAATAATAACGGCCTTACCAACAAACAGGAAGTGATCGAGTAAATAACGGACATCGCATTGTTGTCAGTATTATTTTCCAGAGCTAAGACGGCAATGAACCATACGATATCATAGCCAGTTTGAACTCCACACAACAGTTTTAAACAAGTTTTACATTCCTTCAGACTTATAACTTCTTCATCAACGCACTCCTGTTTTTTCTCGTTGAGTACATCAAGTTCATTTCTTAAAGCGTTTAACGACTCTGCTGAGCTACTAAATTCTAATTTGGACAATTCTATATTGATCTTTCGGATACCATTCAACGCGTATATTGTCGTTACAACGATTAATAAAGATACTGGAAGCATATAGTTTATTATCATTCCTCTTTGTACTGACATAAAGCAAAATCTCTTCGTTTCGAAACTGTGAGGCGACAGGAAGTACGAAATCTAAAAGAAATTATCGTCGCTCTATGACAACATTAACGTTACAGATACTTACAACACAAAAAACAAGGGGTACTCCATATCCAACTGAGAAAAAATATTTACTTTTAGGGACGCCACTGCTTGAAAATCGCTTATAGATGTAGTAACAATATAAAAACATCCAAAATGCTGTTAGTAAATGCGAATAATGCAAGATCAACGCTATTATTAAACATTTAAAAGAACTTTTAACAGCCTACAAATATAGGAAATAAAAATTACGATAACGAACTTTACCACATACATACATAAACACCAATCATAAATAGTAAATTTGAAACACAAAGAGATCCCATCAAATGAAGAAATAAATTCTTCATTTCTTTTTTGCCACTTAAATGTTTTTTAAGAAAAACACAAAAAATTGTGAAAAACTGTGCAGCACAACTTAAAACGGAGCCAATTATTATCACTTCAGGACCATAATTGTTCCCATTTTTGTTGTGGGATCCATAGTACACGTACATCAAGTTATCAATAAAATCATGATCTTTCAGATCTGTATCTGAAAGAGAATCATCTGGTAACTCCACATTCGGAAGAACGTCTATTGTGTATTTTGAATCGATGTTTTCCGGATTTGGTAATAAAAAAGATTCTGGTGATTTGTTTTCTGAATTAATAGAATCATTTGAAATTTCGTAATCATAATTTAAATAATAATCGTCTTCGTCGATGCGTTTTGAAGTTATATTTGTCATACCTAAAATATAAGTATATATATTATTATATCTTAGTTATATAGTGCCTAGTGGAGACATGGATCACATTATTTACATATTTTTTAATCAAAATAAAGATAAGTTTATTATTTACTTACATGCTGCAATACTCCAAAAATAAAAACTACCCACTAAACATTTTTGAATGTTCATAACAAGTTTTCAACGAAAAACCGAGCATGTATCCCAATTTTATCCATTGGGATGCTGTGTTCTGTTGAGCAACCATGTAGTTAAGATGAGTTGGAAGTAAATAAAGTTTATACATCATAAGGACCACTGGATTTCTCGGGATTACAGTTAGTCAACTCGAGTTATTCAAAAGTTTGACTCTTCAAATGCTTGCAGTACACTACTGATATGTTATACGGGCGCAAGCGCTGTATATGGATCAATAGAGCTGATTAGTTCAACTTGTTTGATTTTAAAAAATATATTTTTAGTTTATGTAGTTAATTACCAATAGATAACTCTAAGTTAGTCACTTAAAATTGGATAATAAAATGTTTTTTTAAGACGTTGAGTGATGCCAAAAGTGTGACAATTTCCCCGAGGTGTCATTTTCAAGCGAATAACATGCACTTCGTTTTTTTATTGTTAATTGTGGCGTTAAAAGTTGATATTTTAACAATATCCAACCTTTGATGAAGGCGTTTTTATCATGTTGATCTTCAACTGTTTTTAACTGAAAAATGAAAGTTATGTCCTCGCATCCAAAATATTTTTGGTTGGTCAGTTGACAGACTGCAGTTCCTTGTTGGCTTCACTGAATAATTTTTGCGATGATTGTATTGATATTTTGGTAGATTTTCGCCGATAGGATATACCTAATAGATAAAACAGAAGATAAAAACAGAAAATGCTAGTCGAAGTGTAAGAAAAAAAGTGGCCTCTATTAGGGAGATCGAACCCGTCGCCTTCGAGGTATTAGCACGCGTCTGAATTTGTGTATTATGTGCGGTTGAAATTTAAACGCTGCGAATTGACCCCCACTCCGGCAGGCCAGCAGAGGCTTACAACCGACGTTATGTATCGCGAAGAAAATTACGCGAAAAATAATGTTAACGGCATGTCAGTTGATGATTTGAAAATCCATATTCACGAAATGAGAGTAATCATAATTTTAATAATGTTCAGGTGTCCGTCTCGCTGACAATAAAACTATTTGTGTGAATTATCAAAAATAATCCACAACTGAAAAGCGAGAAGAAGGCAAGGCAAGGCTGTGTAGCGATCGGCACTGTGGGCCGATAGTGGGGGTAAATAAATTTCAACCGCACAGCTCTAGTGATTATTGAGATCCGTTAAGAAAAAGAAACCGAAAATTATGGAAAGTAATGCCTAAATCATTATGATGGCAGATTTTCATTATTAAAAACGATTTAACTGCCATTGAACTATTTCCTTGCATTATCACAGCTACGTACAACCAAGCCGTGATGCCACCACAAACGCCACGCTATCTCCATGCTGTGTTCGCTGGCGCCTGAGGCACCTGCTTCAAGAATTATCCCGTAACTATACTCCATCCACCGCGTAACATACGACACTGGCTACCCCCAGTAAAGTTCCTTTAACAGTAGGCCACCCTCCGCATAACTGTTAGCGGCATCCGATATTGCGAATAAACAGTCATATGAATGACAGGAAAAATTAGTCAGTCTTGACTTGGGCCGAAGTCGCAAACCGAATTCCATTAAACAAAATTAATGAAACAAGAGTACATCGTGAATCGAATTCCCCAACACATAAATATATAAAACACATATTCAATATGGTCAAAACACAAAATATCATTTGGTTTGTTTGTACATCGCTTTGAGAGGTACTTTTGAGAATAAATGTTCCAAAATTGGAGTCATAAAACTCATAAAACATAACACAAAATCAGTATAAAATCCCCTTTGCCCTTTCGAATCCACGACGACATTTATTTTGCTGATTATTTCCAAAATCTTTAAAAATTTAAATCTTGAATACTGCCAAAAACCATGGTAGAATTCCAAAGATGAATCTATTTAAATTGAAATAATAATTGAAGAAGAACCATCCACTGAAACATTTCACAATTTAAAATATTATAAAATATTACCTCCAAACATTTCTGGTATAATATTGTTTTTTTTTGTCATACAAGAAAATAAATTGTATAATTTCCAGCGACTTCGTAAAATTAAATAACAATTTTATCGCTTTTAACAAGTACAACGCTAGTCTAAACAATAACGATGCAATGTGTCGAATTGCAGAATGGCCAGACGTCCTCGTATTACGTGAGATTGACAATTAAAAATCATGTTAACCTTTACTTCCACATGGGGGTAACGATGGGGTGCCTCTAATCTACTGCCAATTGGCCCTTCGGTCATATTTTACGACAAAAAATGAAACGTACAAATTTAAGACACATGTGACTTTAACACGGGGGATTTACATCCTCACACTACGACTGCTTGAAACAATCTCTAGCCACGCGCGAAAGCTCCCCTATCGCTCAACAAGAAAAATGCAAATCTACATTACAGAAAAAATGTCATTCTTTGTGGTGCTAAATTTAATTTGAGCTGGTACACTACAGGGTTATAAATGGCCCCTGCGTGGAGCTTTTTTGCCGGCGTTTCTTTAACATCAGTTAAATGAGGAAGGCTCCGTCCTGTTATATTACCTCCATGCAGAAATTAAAGAACAAATGAAGGACGTAGAAATAAATTTGGAAATTATGGATGATCGAATGAAAACTATAGATCTAATACAGAACAAAATGTAAAATTCAATGAAAATTAGAGAAGATCTAATGGAGAACCAAATGAAGAAATTTGAACAAAAAATAATTAAAAATACAGCAACGACTGGTTTATCTAATGTGATATTAGCCCCCAAACCCAAAACAATTCAACCACCCACTGCGATGAAATTCCGGTGACGGTCCGGAATTTCGCCCACAAGGAATGGGGGTGGCGTGCCTCGGTGCCAAGCCTTAGGTCGACTAGTGCCGCTGAACAGAAACACGTCTGGCCAAGGTAGTATGAGGTCACTTTCACGCCACCGGGAGTAGCGCCCTCGGACGGGAGCGGCGGTGTTCGGGCGCCAGCTCCCTTTCCGAGGAGGGAGCACCGTGGTTGCTCCAAAGATGGAGACACGCATGTCCAGGTGGTCTGGTGACCACCCGCGGAAACAAGAAACAAAATAAAACGGAGGAAAATTTTAAACAACAATCGGGTTTTATTCCTTGTCACCAGCTACACGGTTAAAATAATTTTTAAAAAACTTTAAAAAAGAATAAAACGTGTGGCATGATCGTTGCCTCCTGGATGGCGATTTTCTTCAGGACGGGCTCGACCGTGGAACGGGAAATCGCGCGGGGACGGTACGGCGACCTGGGAAAGGAGCGCAGTGGCGGAAAACGACGCGTACTCAACGGTTTCGAACGGACGGGGATTCGAAAACGGTACGCAAATAGGCAGAAAACTCAAAACGGTACTTACGGTAGTCGATCTGGTCTTGGAGTTCTGGTAAACTTGATGAGAAAATGGCCACAGCATTTCCTCTCTCTTGAAGACTTCAAGAAAGGATCCTTTTTTTCGGCCGTGTGGGCGCGGCGATCGCGGATTTACACCGGTTTTCGACCCGTAAAAATTCGCTCTGATACGCGCTTTAGAAGTGGAGGTTGCTTATAGTACTTCAAGAATGTGCCACCTGGTTAGAGAGGTAAAAGTAGAGATAGAAGGAAAGGACGAGACAGAAAAAGTGTTACAGTAAATAAAATAAATATTTCGAAGACGAGAGAATGGTGTGCCTCGTAAGAAAAGCATAGAACGTTATAGGTGTTGTGATAACCCTAAGATTTCGCCAAAATCGAGACATGATGCACACAAAAATTGAACGAATTGTAAAAACCCGCGCCAAGTTTGAAAATGTATCATGAACTGTGATCGTCGACGAGTCGGAACCCTACGTTGTTTTGAAATAGCGGAATGTGTTCTAATGTAAGTGGGGAACCGCAAAGATGGAAATGTGACCTTGAATTAACAACACAAAAATATGGCGTGAATAATTTTATTAAGTTATTCCAAAAGACTGTATTTTTTCATCTATAAAAATCTCTTCGTTTTTTTCAAATGCAAGATTACAAATTTCGATCACATAAACATAGCTTGTTGTTAAATGTACATAGTTTTCCAGTTTGCAACATCTTATCTAAAGTGAATAGGTGATAATGCCCAAATTATTATGGTACATGGCATATTGGCAGATTTTTTTTATATGTATATTGGTAGTCGACAAAAAAACACGATTTAATGCAAAATTTAAGGGATACCGAATGAGTAGCGCTAACTGTTCTAGTCCCTGTACTTGAACTATTTTACATTGATTAAATACATATGTATGTCTTATCACAGTTACGTACAACGATGCCGCGGTGTCCCCGCAAGCGGCCGCTATGCCTACTGTGTCCGTTGGTGCCTGCGGCAGCTAATTCAAGTTTCACATAGCAACTGGCGCTAAATTTAATTTGAACTGGGACACTACAGTATGGATACCATGGAAATCTCAAACGTGATTGTCGTGCTCGATCACCAGTTCCAAGAAGAAGCAGTAGCATAAAACAAAGATCTCCTCACCTAGATGTAAAAAGTGCCAATACGCGGAATGTGTTGACTGCTAAGAATAAGCTAGACAGTGAACGGATAATAGGAAATTTCACCAGAGGCAGTAGTTCCGCTATACCTACTGGGGAAAATTAATGGAATTCTAAAAGTGATCACGATCGATACTGGCGCTGACGTATCAATTGTTCGTAGAAGATTCGTGAGAGCTAAGATTTAGAAACTATGCCTGAAAAGATTAAACTGAAAACTGTGACACGAAAGTCGACGCCGATCATCGAAGCAGTGGTAGAAATTTACAGTCAGTTAAGAACAAGACATCGGGTACTCGTGGCTAGCATGGAAGATCACTTCATTTTGGCAATGGATTTGACTAGCCACCATGGATTGACAGTTAGTCCAGTGGAGAGAGTCTGACGCCTTGATACTGAAGAGTTCATGCTGAATCAACATTGCATTGAAGCGAAACCTATCGATCGTGTGTCAGAATTGCAAACACTGTGATAGATTACCAGAAAACGTAATTCAACAGCGGGAGGACAACAGTCGTAGATGATGAAAGATGGACTATAATGCAGCTTAGAAAAGACCAAGAGGAAGATGTGAATATCGGACCGCTGCTGAAATGTGAAGAAGATGGGATGGAACGGCCTATTGGTTGGAAATATTACAAGAGTCGCCTTCTTTCAAGGCGTTATGAGCTAAATTTTCAATGAA